AAGCTCTGAAATCCATTTAAAGCTTATGGTTACATTGGAAAATTATCTCTCTTCCTAATTTGAATTTAATGTAAACTGATTTTTAATTGTTTTGTATAACCATGGGTAACAGATTTTTTTGAACACTGCATAGTAAAAATCAGCAAATATGTCAGACAAAGCACAACATTAAAGGAAACGCCACAGCATATGTTGACAGTTATAGAAGAATTGCTGCTGTTTTCACCCTTCACACCAGAATAATTTTTTCAATATTTACCTCCCATGTGTAGAGAGGCAGACATATGGGGCTTTACATAATCATAAGCATAAACAGGTGGCTACTTAGGTACATTTAATTTGCAAGCAACATCAATACTGAACAACGCAATCAACACCACATGGCTCCCAAACTCTTTGCACTAACATTCCATTAGCAAAATTAAGATCATTAAAATAGAGGAAAGTTATACTCCTCCCTCAGTTGGCTTCAACTACCTTTCAGAGCCATGAATAAAACACATTTTCAAAAATGCCTTGACATTTTGCTGCTTCTTTTGTTCAAAGGAACTCCAGCAGCTGTGTATAATGTATACCTTGTGAATAACTACAATCAGCACAATATTTGCATTTAAAGTGTACTTACACCTCCCTATAATCTGCTTATTATGGGCATAAAATTATGGTGGTTAAATTCTAAGCAATTTATCAAAGCATGGAGTCAGACAGACTTCTCAAAGCCACCTGGAAATATTTATCCAAAGGCAGTCCACCTAAAGAGGTCACCTGAGGCTCTCTTTTCCATAATCAAACACTCTGGTGGAATCTGTGGATGTTATTGTTGCTGGGATTATTTTGTTCAGCCTGTGTCAGATGCTGAATTGTGGATTCTATATATTTTTGCCTCATCTAATTTGATCCTAATTGGAATGCCTAGTGTGCCTCCTTTGGCCCTATAGGTATTCATCTCTCTGATGTTATAACCATCCTGCAATGGCTTAGAATTTCAGAGTGAAAGAAAATGAGAAGAAGGGATAACGTTATTTCTTGTATTTTGTTTTTTACTGCTTGCTGTGTGTTAAGTACTATCTAAGCATATTACATGTATTGACTCATTTAATTATCACAATGACTTTCTGAAGTAGATAACACAATTTTCTCCATTTTATAGAAAAGGAAATTGTAGCTCTGAGAATTAAATTTCTCAAATTTACACAGTGAGGAAAGGGCTGCGGCCAGAATTACACCCAGGCTACTTGAATCAAAAATTCACACTTTCAACCACTCCACTTTACTGTTGGAATAGTATGTTGTTGGCCTTAAAAAATTCTATTGTCTAAGTCACCCAGGGCCAGGTAGTGAATGTATGGTATTTTGAAAATCTTCCTAATAAAGCATCGTGAGAGATTTTGGTGGGACATAAGGTCTGTGGGGATTCTTTCCAGTCCTGATACATTGATGTGTCTTCCCATAACACAAGGGGCAGTGCTCCTCAGGACTGTGAGAGTCCAGGGAAATGTGATCTTGCCAAGGTTTATAAGAAGGAGAATTTCTCACATCCTCTCCTCCTCCTCCTAGGTCTATTAACTCATTCTCACTGCTTGGCAGAGAGAAAGCTTTACCATGAACAAGTATGTATAGCACTTTCATTAATAAAGCTATGATTATAAGAGAGCTTTAGTCATAGATGTAAAATTATATCATCTGATTTCAAGATCTAACATTATTAACGTAAATTATTTGTTAAACATCTCAAATGCATTAGATATTGCATAATCACTCCTTTTAAGGACTTATTAGGAAAATAAGGTTTTTTTTCATGCAGTGGTTGAAACAACAAGGTAAAAATGAATAGAAACGTTTTATGATTTACTCTTTTACCCTCTTTTACAAATAAAAGAACTATTAAAAACCATTAATAGGTATTATAGACTATTCTGACTCCATTATAAATGTAAAGACATTTGATTATAGGAGTTTCACAGCCTCGTTTAGCATCTAACATTAAACAAACTTGGTCACCATCTTTGATGTTTCTTCTCCCCTCCCAAATACTCCGTTCAGTTATGCAAAATTTTCTTATCATGATCCGTGACTTTCCTCACATTCCTTGTTTCTGCTCTTGGAGACGTCTATCAAGATTGTTTGAATCACTCATTAGTTGATAACGTTCAATAATCCTATAATTGACTCTGAGAAATCTGGAGAATCTTCTCACAGTTTGGACATTATTATTATTATTATTATTATTATTTTATATTTCAATACTTGCTGAAGAATTTTGAGGGATTTGTTGTTTCTCTAGTGACATTCTCTTTATGAACAATTTTTCCTAAGTAAAAATAGCAATAGTATCCATTGAAATAGGTGGAAATCAAATTTGGAATTAGAAATCTATTTTCTTTCTGCTTTCAACTTAAATTGTGAAGATTATGTATTGGCTTATTTTATAATCACACTAATGATTACTCAGCTCTTGAAATGTGTTTTATTTTGTTTTGTTTTGATAAATAAAAAAATATATTTTTTCCAGTATAAAACTATTATTATACTCTTTGTTAAAAATGTAGAGAAAAAATCGGTTGAATTTAAAGCTGATCAGGTCTATGGTGTTTCGGTTTACTGTGAAATTGAAGTTCTAATATGATACCATTCACATGTATATGCCCTACTTTATATGGTTTTAAGTGGCTGTTTATCAGAAAGAACTCTTTGGACTGACTGTAATAATATATAAAGAAATAAGTTAATCAAATATTTTTCCTGTACTCTGGCACTTAATATGCTGAACTGCGTACTTAATCATTTTTCTAAGGGAAAACAGACTGATTCATAGATAAGATTTTTTTCCTTGCAATAGAGACATCCAACAAGACAGCTCTGAAGTGTATGATTAACTTGAAATAATGGTGTTCCTTAGGGTTTCAGGCTTTTTCTACTTCATAACATTTTAGGTTTGTTATTACCTCAGGTGAGCCCAATTCCCCAAGAAAGAAGATGCTGAATTAATTCTTCTGTGACTTATGTCATCAGTATAGCTAGGGTAGAAATAAAACTGTTTCTCTACATTTATGAGATTCTAGGTAGCTGTTTTTTTAAACTTATTTCACAAAAACTGCTGATTTTTTTTATAGCCTGGTAGTGACTGTGGACTCTTAGAAATGAATCTTCACATGCAGACAAATGAGATTAAACATGTGCACGCACACACACACACACATGCACACACACACAAATTCAATTACTGTGGAGAACTCAAGAATACTATTTTATTGGATTTTCCCTTATACAAGACATAATGAAATAAGAAATTCCTTCAAAGTAAATGTTTCTTTGCCTTACTGTCTTAAGGCACACCATACAGTGGATGAACACTGTTCAATTTCTAAAGGTTTTCAGGACAGATTGCACATCCTAGCTTACTTAGTCTTTGCCAGGATTGCATCACTCGTACTTTTTCAGTTTATATTTAAAAATAACCAAAATCCTGGGGGTTTTTTTTGTTTGAGTAAAGATCGACTACAAAAATAACATCATAAATCTTTGTACCATAACCCAAAATATACATAAAAGACATAACCTGGTTAATAATAATTTGATATATAGAGAAATGTTAATTGGACTGTATTTTTGACTAAACTAGTAAGTAAATTTTCCAAGCTATATCATTCTAGTAAGATTCTTTATACACTGCCTTCTTAGTGCATGCTATTATATAATATTGTCTTAATTTACTTTGAGGTTAAGAAAGCAGTTACCTAATTTTTCCTTTGTTCTTATTTTCCCTGTAATTTATTAAAATTATTCAATAATTTCATAATAATTTAGTAATTTCATTTCTGAAAGTGCTACAAAGCAGATATGCCCATAAAATAAAAGTAAAATAATTCAAAGAGAAAAATTAATCAAACATGCAAGCATAAAAAGTGATATCATAAAGAATAAAAATTCACTGTGTTAGTGACTATCCCAATAGTATTAGAGGGAAAAGTTTCAAATAGTGAAACTACTGAAAAATTATAGAGAAGTAATGAGAAGGAATAATGACATATAATCAAGAATATTCGATCCAGAACAACTATCTAACTTGGCGCATTTTCCACGGAGAGTTATGTGGAACACTAATATATCATGAAATACTACATTGTAATTGATTAAGGGATGTTTCCCCCAAGAGTTTTATAACTAAAGAAATCTGGGAAATTTTACACGTTATATTCCCCTTTTGTGAGTCACTGTGCATCTGAAGTTTCTGAGAAGTCTTAAATTATGTGGAAATATGTAGATACTTTTTATTGTGGTAAAATATACATAACATCAAATTTACCACTTTAAAGTATACAATTTAGTGTCATTAAGTACACTCACAATGTTGTACAACCCTCACCACCATCTATTTCCAGGTAATAGCTTTGTAATTGTTACTTTGACCATGAAACAGTTTCCGTCTGGAATATCTATTAATTTTGGTGTTTCCAGAGAATATATTTATGGAAACACTGATCTAATCCAAGCCTTTCATTTTAAAAATTAAAAATAAAAAATATTATCTTGAGAGATTAAGTGCCTTGCTCAAGATCACACATGTAGTCGGAAGATAGCCAGTATGTCATGCAGATTTCATTTCCAAGAACAGGGCCTCTTCTTTTTCAAGATATTTTCCCCTTGTTTCCATTTATGTGACCTGGATCTGATGATTCAGTAATCTACAGATAATACATTAAGATTTTACCTAGAAGAACTCAGGATTAACACAAGTATCTCTAATCTTTAAAGAATACTTTTAATTTGTATTTTTGGGGAGGTGGAATTAGGTTTATTTATTTTTAGAGGAGATACTGGAGATTGAATTGACGACCTTGTGCATGCTAAGCATGAGCTCTAGCGCTTGAGCTATATCCTCTCCCAAGTACATTACTTTTAAATGCTACATTATACTTGTTTTATAACTGTCTCTGTGATTTTCTTATGATAACTTTCATTGTAAGAACTCTCGTTAATTCACACAATTCTGTTCTTAGGTCTTTTTAAGATTGTGGCTGATAAAACTCCATACCTCACTATGGACGAAATTACAAGAACCATCCATATTGGACCAAGTAGACTAGGGCATCCTTGCTTCTATCATCAGAAGGATATAAAACTAGAGAATCTCATCATAAGGCAGGGTGAGCAAATCATGCTCAACTCAGTTGAAGAGATCAATGGAGAAAAAATGGTGAACTGTGGAGTGCTAAGGGATCATCAAAATCACTCATTTACTTTGCCTTTGTCACAAGAAGGAGAATTCTATGAGTGTGAAGATGAACATATTTATACCCTAAAGGAGATTGTCCAATGGAAGATCCCCAAGAACAGAACACGAACAGTGAAACTTACGGATTTTTCGGATAAGTGGGACTTAATAAATCCATTCCCTAAAGGCTTTCATGGTTCTCTGATTCTCAAGCCTGTTTATGAAATTCAAGGTGTGATGAAATGTAAGTATCCACTGAGAATGAGCTTTATGGGCATGAGCATTGTTTGTGAAAGAGAAAGGCTTTAGAGTCTAAAAAGTGGGACTCTGTCCCTGACTTGTCTATTAAACCCACTGAGAGTTGGATTCTTGTCTATAAATAAGCAAACCATGTATTTGTTGCAAGGATCAAATAATAATGTATGTAAATGTATATTGTAAATTGTGTGGCGCTATCCAAATGTAAAATGCTATAACTATCAGGTATAGACAGATTAAAATACCTGTTTTTATCATTTCCAGTTAAACATGGTCAGAAACAAACTACTTTTTAGAATAGAACTTAATTGTTTAGAAAGAAGCTTTCTTGTATGGAAGTGGTCAAAAAAGAGGTAAGAATGTAAAGTTTCCTTAATGTATCCCTTACTCCTACTTTTGTGAGATACTTTTTTTTTGCTTTTTTTTTTTTTTAGCCATCCATCACTGGTCATAAATCTTCCTATTAGCTGGGAGTCCCTCTAACTTAAGGGAAAATAATGTGACAGATCAATTCACACGTAAGTGTGGTTTAAAAGAAAATTTGTTGAAATATAGTCGATTTCCAATATTATATTAGTTTCAAGTATAGAGCATAGTGATTCAGTATTTTTAGAGATAATACTCCCTTTAAAGTTGTTACAAGATAATGGCTATGTTCCCCTGTCCTGTACAGTATGTCCTTGTAGCTTATCTATTTTATACATAATAGTTTGTATCTATTAATCCCAAACCCATATCTTGGCCCTCCCCCTTCCCTGTCTCTTCATAGTGAATTTTAATATATAAGCTTCATAAGATTTTTGCATTTTAAAAGAAGAATCACTGGAAAGAGCATTGCTATTCTAAAGAAACTAGTATCTTGACTTTTTAAGATTACGGCACATAAGTGGGACAAGTATGGAGCAAAGAGTTCTGTATTTGCAGTTAACAGTCCTGGATTCTAACTCTGGTCAAAAACTTAATAGGTGGTGGTGGCTCAGAGTAAGTCATTTAAACTGTGTCTGTACAAAAGGTTTAATGATACTCCTTTTGCCTACGTCTTGGAGTTGTTTTGAGAATGAAATACGGTTCTATTTACATACCTTACATAATACATATGTGGAAAAAAGCAGTATGTAAAAATGTTTGGTCTGAGGATACCCTTTGGATATCTCAAATTTTATTTATCTCTGCTTCCATTAATATTGTTGGTCACTTATATTATGAAAAAATTAATGTGACCTTTGGGTACATTTTAGAATTGTGTGTTAAATTTTGTTATATATGAATATTTAACCAGAAATCAATTAATTCATTTGAACTAAAGGTACAGGTAAGGAATACCACTCAAGTAGTGATTTTTTTTTTTTAGTACTACAAAAAATTGAGGCCACAGCATTATTATTATTATTGATTTTTTAGTTTTTTTCTTCTTGGGGGGGAGGGGGAGGAAGGTAATTAGGTTTATTTGAGGTTCTGGGGATTGAACCCAGGACCTAGTGCATGCTAAGCATGCGCTCTAGCACTTTGAGCTATACCCTCCCCCTGATTATTTTTTAACATGACAAAAAAATTGAAGTTACATCAAACTTCAGAACTCACATTAGTGTTCTGTTAGCTATCCCAGAATGAGCAAAGTTGATAATTGAGTTTTCCTCAATTTTCCTAAATAATGGATAGCATTTTCTCATTTTAAAATTTGTTAATTTTCTAAAACCATTGTCATCTCCTATCACACAGCTGCAAATAAAGGCCAACCCAGGATCAAAGCACATGAACCTGGTTGTTACAACATTTAATGAATTTAAGTTAGGGATTGAGAAAAGCTTCTCTAAGGATATGGCATTTAGAGTAAAACCGGAAGGGTAAATAGGAGAGGGCAAGTGGAGAAAGAGAGGACAACATTGGAGAAAGTGGTTGCAACTTGTGGGAAAGCAGATAAGCAAGAGATTGGAGTTCCAGTGCAGCTCGTGTGAATAAAGAGAGGAGAAGGCAGGTTGAGACATTGAAACATGCAATGGGGTTGGTGGGTTGTGTGTAGAATCAGTCAGGGAGAGACTTGAACTATATGTTAAGGGTCAACATTTGTTCCAAAAAGCAAATTAATAAAGGTTTTTCAGCTGGAGGAACAGGGTCAGAAGAGTAGTGAAGCCATTGGTTCCGTGAGGGTATTGGAGAGTGAATACAGTAGTAATATTAGATGGATAGCTGGTCTTATTGGGTATTTAAGAAGTAAAACCAGCAAGATCTGAAGGTCTTTTGGAAGGGGGAAAATGTCCAGCTAATTCTCAGGCTTCTGACTTGATCTGCTGGTTGGATGGTTGTGCAGTTTAATAAATATTAACATTGACAGAAGAGCAGGGGCTATTAGAATTGCTTAGATGGCCTTAAATTTGGTTTCCTGCTAATTAAGTTCCCAGAAGAAAGCCTTTGGTTGAAATAAAATCCTTCCCAAAATGTTTTAGTCAAATTTCCATTCTTTAATAATATTAAAATTGAATTTTGATTTTAATTATTTTGGATTATTAGGGATTATTTTAAACATTAGTTCCTATTGTATAGCGACTTCAGTACAAATGTTGTATGAAACTGCTTTTCATGTGTAGTGCAAAGTGTTCCCTGGAAATAGAGGATAGGTATCCAACACAAAAAGCCCAATTATTAAAATTAAAATTATTGTTATAGGCATTTTTTCTTCTAAATATAAAATGTACACTTAAAAGAATTGTGCTCTTGTTTTACATTATTCTTTCTTATACTGATGACTAAACTTGCCTTGAAGTCAAGGGCATGTTGCCTGCTAAGTTGCTTTTCAGTGGCCTTGAATGTCAGGCACAGTTCAAACTCCCCTTGGCTTGAGTCCTTCCTTTCTAAAGTGACAAGAAAAAGAATAGTTCTGAGTCAGGGATAGGCAATTTTAGAGAAACCTTAGAGGAAAAAGCAAGATGAAAAAGATTGAGAGCTATTCCTATAGCTATGAAATATTGATTTGCTGAAAATAGAACATAGTAAATAAATAGAGAAAAGGAGAAATATAAAATATTCTATTCTGAGTGCTAGTTTTTAATGTTACTAATGTGAAAATGTATCCTTCATAAAAAAGAAAAGTAGCAGAAAATGCTTAAGTGAAATATTTGTTCCTAGAAACTCTTGGTCATATTTCCATTATAGGCCAAACTCCTCTTTTACTACACATTTAATGATTTTTTTAAACTATATCTCTTTGGAAAAGATGTATAAATAACCATCCAAGACCTCTAACTACTGCTTTGATATAAGTCATAGCAAAACCTGTTTGTGTCTTTCACAGAAAGAAAAAAAATTCGTCTTAGTGTAACAAATGCAATGTATAGTATTTGAAAATGAAAAATTGAGCCAGCTTTTTAAAGTTACTTCAAAAAAGCAGCAATCTTGATTGTTAAAACTCTTTATTATAAGTGTTATGTTTTGATGTATCAATTAATTACTTCCTTCTTAATGGATATTTATTTTAAGTATTGGAAAGTTATATTTTACTTTAGAAGGAAAACTTGGTGCCTTTCAAAACTTGGGGAAAAGTTTCTGCTCAAACGTAGGACATACTAGTTCATTTATAAACAGAGAGCTGAAATCATATAAGCAGAATATAAGCAGAATAGTGATATCAGAAAGGCAGTATATGAATTAGTTAAAAGTTTAAAAAGTCAGATAGTGGTAAAAAAAAAAGACAAAGTTATCAACAAATTTTGTGCCCTTGACCATTCCTAAATTTCCCCTCACCCTCTGCTACTCCAGGGTAACTCATGTAAATATTTAGCTCCTGCCTTCTTATATTTCCATTCACATTTCCAGATAATGCAGGGATATTGCTATTTTTCAAGTGATCAACTTTAGACAGTAATAACTGACTTCCACACGTGTTGATAAAGATTTGATGTCCTTATATTACTACTTCCTCTTCCCTTTCCCCGTTCTCTCAGTGTATGATAAGTTATGATTCAGCATTAGTAGTTTTATTATTGTGACAATTCGTTGCTGAATCAAGTAGTAGATAATGGCTATAATTCTGTGTAATTCTTTGTTTTTCTCTAATAATGACCTTATTATTTCATTGCTTAGTTTCCTTCAATCTTCTTCTAAGTCTTGAAGTATTTTCTATCATCTTTGTAAAAAAAATAAATAAATAAAGTCTTTCATTGCAGTTTTCCAGAGCCCAAACTGTTAGGAGTTCTACATTTTCTATTATTTTTCAGCCTGAAGTATTCCTCATGGAACCCTCCAACCTCATGCTCCGATCTGAATTTGTGGCTCTCTAGACCTAATGCATAGGTGCTTATCTTAGCTTGTTAATGATATAATAAAAATCCCATAGACTGGGTGGCTTATAAGCAACAAATTTATTTCTTGGAGTTCTAGAGGCTGAAAGGTTGAAATTAGGGTGCCAGCATTATCAAATTCTGGTGAGGAAACTCTTCTAGGTTTTAGACTGTATCCTCACACAGTGGAGAGCAGAGCTGGGAAGCAAGGTCTCTGGTGACTTTTATAAGGGCACTAATCTCATTGATAGGGCTCCATCCTCATGACCTCACCTAATTCTAATCACTTCCCAAAGATGCCACTTCCTAATACCCTCACATTAGGGAGCAGGGTTTCAACATGTGAATATTGAGAAAACAATCATTTAGTCCATAACAGTGCTGTCCTGGGACTTCCATTTAAAACCATCCAAGGGGTTCCACTTTGACTTGCTTCTGTGTTTACTAGCAATTTCTGGAATCAAATAACTTATTCTTTCTTGGTTTTCTTCCAGTTTTGAGGAGCCCATCCCAACTTATTTCCTGAGAAAGGTGTAGAGGATATTTATTAGTTAAGTAGAAGACTAGCATCTTAAAAAATATTTTACACTCAGATAAAATTGAATTTGGCTACTTCTAGAATTCCAGGTTGAAAATTACTTTTCAGAATTTTGAAAGATTTGCTCCCTTATCTTCTACCTTCCAATATTGCCTTTGAGAGATTATCCATAGT